GACTGGTAGGCTTTCAAGAACTTCTAAATCTTTCGCCACTGCTACATTGTTATCTTCGAAAACAACTTCTTAATTTATTTACTTGCTTACTTCAAATAGGTGTGCATGAAAGAATTGCACTGGCGAAACAGTCCATTGATTATGTCACAGTGCGGATCCAAAGGTTCACCCATCAATATCAGTCAGATGATTGCATGTGTTGGTCAACAATCAGTTGGTGGCCGCCGTGCTCCAGATGGATTCATAAATCGAAGTCTTCCTCATTTCCCTCGAATGTCCAAAACCCCTGCTGTAAGTTGAAAGTTCCTCTGTTCCAATGTCTGCAATTCTACAGATGCAGTATGCACCTTTAGTTTGATTGAATTTTAGTAGTTATTGATTGAAAATATTTGTTTATTGAATGGTTTTGCTGGGAGTATATGTATATGATAAAATTGGACTTTAGTGTTCTTTTAACGAGGATGTGCAGACGTTTGCACTTAGTTGTTGTACAGTGAGATGGGATTTCTAGGCATCAATGATGGCATTATGGCCGTTATTGTTTGTTCAATTCCAAGTGAACCTGTTGGAAAAGGGTCTATAACTATGATAATTGATGCTGCCATTATATATACTCATTGCTTGACATTTATTCTTTCACTTGCATACCTCTCCTGTAAAGTTCACCCCTAACCACTAATCGCTGATATATATGATTTTGTGTGTGTTACTCAGCTATAGCTCTTGGAATATGGATAAGTTACTGTATCTTCTCGATTAGAAATCAATGTTGAAGACTTCAAAAGCCATTAAATAGCTCAACATTCAATAATGTCACCTTATCGTTGTTGTGCAGGCTAAAGGATTTGTGGCTAACTCATTCTACAGTGGATTGTCCGCTACTGAGTTTTTCTTCCATACAATGGCTGGTAGAGAAGGTTTAGTGGACACAGCGGTATGACACTTACTGCTTGTTATTTATCCTTGTTTATTGAGAAAGTGTTTCATGCATCCTTTGATAAGCCTATGAGTATTAAGTACAAATCTTGGATTTGTCTTATTAAAATCTCATATTTCTTCCAAGTTCTTTCTGTATTTCTTCCAAGTTCTTTCTGTAGCTTGAATATATACTCGACACTTAGTAGTTAATAAGCATTTGAGTTTGAAACTACCTAGACCTCTATATTCTAACTTGAATTGTACTTATCTTGAGAATTGATTCCAACAGACTTTGGGTTCTCATAGATCAAGTGGGATCTCTTCAGTCCTAATATCTTATTACTTGTTCTTCAGGTGAAAACAGCTGATACAGGATACATGTCCCGTAGGCTGGTGAAAGGCCTTGAAGATTTATCCATTCGGTATGATAACACTGTTCGTAGTTCAAATGGTATTATAGTGCAATTCATTTATGGGGATGATGGTTTAGATCCGGTGAAAATGGAGGCGAAAGGTGGATTCCCATTAAATTTTGATCGATTGCTCATGAAAGCAAAGGTTTGTAAATAAATGCAGGTTTACATTTCTGTCATTGTTAGTGGTACAATTGGAACATATGATGATTAAAGATACCTTTGGGTTAACCTTTCTGTAGGCAACCTGTCCCGTGGAAAAAGATGACTACTTATCTCCTTCAGATATGTTCAAGACCTTTGAAGATTTATTGCTAGATTATCAGACTCTTGACAACCCTTGTTCGGAGGCCTTCCGAGAAAGTCTCTGCAATTTTGGTTCCAAGTGTGTTAAGCGATTAGAGAGTATGCTAAGGAAGGTGAATGACCAAGAGGGAGGAATATCTAATGGTACAGAAGATGCTGAATCTGCACAGGGAAATAATTGGGCTACCTGCAAAGTTGTCTATAAAATATATGGTGTTACCAAAAATCAGCTGAAGGTAAGGTGGCTAATAAATTTCCTGCATTTTGATGGAATGTCAATTTATTTTTTTAACTTGGTCTCATATGAAACTTGAAGTTGAAGGTTGGTCCTAAACCAGCAATGGATCTCACTAAGCTCTGTGGAATACTAAGATGCTATTTGTTTGATGATCCTCTGAATTTGCTTCACTATTTATTATTTTCATTAATGGGATTTGTAAGGTAGTGCCATTTTCAATTTTGTTCAAGCCAACTGTAACCTTGGTTAGCCTTCCGCTAAGTCTCTGTTTCTTGGGTGATTGTTGATCTGCTTGTAATGAATATATTCAAATTGAGCCGCAGGTTTTCCTGAGAACCTGCTTTGATCGTTACCTTTGGAAGAGGATTGAACCTGGAACTGCAATTGGAGCAATTGGAGCTCAAAGTATTGGAGAACCAGGGACACAGATGACACTGAAAACTTTTCACTTTGCTGGAGTTGCAAGCATGAGTATCCTTACTAATCTCATGTGACTAGCCTTTTAATGTTTGTCTTGCTCTAGTTTTACATGTTACAGTTACTGTTTTGATTACTTAACTGTCTCTTAGATATCACACAGGGAGTTCCTCGTATCAAAGAAATCATAAATGCAGCTAAAAAGATCAGCACACCCATCATAACTGCTGAGCTCGAGAATAATACTAACGTAAACGCTGCTCGAGTTCTAAGAGGGCGTATTCAGAGAACTATTTTAGGCCAGGTTAGTGTTTTTTGCTTGTAAAAAAGAAAGTTAAGGCCAATGTGCCTAAGAAGATTTATGGCTATATTCCTATTCATTCATTCACCCATCTTGGCTAACAAGTTATTATTGTGTGGATAGAAGTGGGTATTTTGTACATGATAGATGATAATGACCCACTATGTTTATATCATTTTCCAGTTCTCTAGTCTTTACTGAAGCGTAAGCAGTTCCTACATGTTAAACTTCCCATGGATTTTATTCCTTTTCTGCTGCATCACAGGTCGCAAAAAGTATCAAAATTGTGATGACTCCAAGATCAGCTTCTGTTAAAGTTGCACTTGACATGGAAGCAATTCAGGAGGCTCAACTAGCCCTGGATCCTAACATTGTAAGGGAAGCGATTTTACGGGTTCCAAGATCGAAAATAAATCCAAAGGTAATAATAAGTTTTTATTAAAGAAAAGGAAAGACGAGGTGCCCTGAAATGAAATCCCTTTTCCTGGAAATAGAGCTTGGATGTGTGTTATTATCACTACTGTTTGCAAAATAACGACGGCTGCTCATAACCAGTTGTCTCAACATGCAGCATCTGAACGTTGTGGATCAGACGTTGGAAGTATCTCCCCAGGGTAACAGAAATAAACTACACTTTGAACTCCATCATTTCAAAAACATGCTCCCAAATGTTGTAGTGAAGGTTAGATTTCTGCTGTCAAGTGAAAATTCACTGCTTCACTTATGCTTCCTTGCTACTTGCATTCACTGCCTCACTGCCATGTCCTCTGTTCTCTTTTATGCTATACTAGGGCATCAAAACAGTTGAACGAGCTATTATTGCCCAGAAAAAGCGTGATGGTGGTGGCGAAGATCAAGAGACCCCAAAGTACAACATGTTGATAGAAGGGTTAGTTGTTTTTTTCTAACTTGATTTCTCTTTCTCACTTGATGCTTGTGTGAGTTATGTACGTTATTAGCTCTCGAGCAACGTATCAATTCTTTTCCAGTGTAGTAATCCCTTTAAACCTTATGCATCGATCTTTTCTCAGAACGGGGCTTTTAGAGGTGATGGGAACTGAAGGGATTGATGGGAAGAACACGACAAGTAATCACGTTATAGAAGTCATGCAAGTGCTAGGAATTGAAGCAGCAAGAAGGTGCATCATTGAACAGATCAAAGACACCATGGAAAGCCACGGCATGAGCATAGACATGCGCCATATGATGCTTTTAGGAGATCTAATGACATTTCAGGTACCGAACGAGTCCATTCGTTTCTTTGAGCATGGGATGATGATTGTTATGCATTGCATCACAACGTTTTCTTTGACATGAATGTATGTCTGGTTAACAACACAACAGGGTGAAGTGCTTGGGATCACAAGATACGGTATCCAGAAAATGGACAAGAGTGTGTTGATGTTGGCTTCCTTTGAGAGAACAGCGGACCACCTTTTCAATGCAAGCGTTAATGGGAGAGTAGACAAGATAGAAGGGGTCAGTGAATGCATCATAATGGGGATCCCTGTCCGCTTGGGCACCGGAATGCTCAAAGTCCGCCAAAGGTAGGAGATTCTACAATCTCTCTCTTTTAAGTAGTAGGGTGTGCAACTAGTGGTTCATAGTCACAATAGATGAATCGAATCAGGTCGATATTCGAAATGCATGCTGACTGGATCGATTCTATAGATTAAAGTTAAGGAACAAACCAAACTGAGATGATCCCAGAGTGGACAAACGCACTTGATTCGACGCTAATCGATCCCCCTGTACTAATATGGTCCAATTCTAGACCGGAATTGGATCAGACCAGACCATACATACAACCCTCTTATGTGGAGCAAAATGAATGTCATCCCAGTTACTTCTACTTTCTGGCGGATTGTCCCTTCGGAGACATCCGATAAAATTGGAACGATACTTTCTTGCGGACTGACTATCTAGTTCTTTGAATGTATATTTGTCATGAATTGTTTGTCCTTTGCTGCCTGATCGGTAATATTGTGCTGTGGTTGCAGGGCTGATTATGCGCCGACCATGTTGCGGTATGGACCGGATCCTGTTGTGGCTTAGAAGATTGGTTGGCTGGCTGGCTTCATAGAATAGAAGTTGCAAATGATGTTAGAAGAAGCTGGTTTTGGTCTGTTTTCATTTTGGTTGGCTTTCCAGGAAGTAGTAGTTTTGTTTTCTTCAATATTTCTTTCCAATTACGGCATTAACACAACCCCTTGGAGACAGTAGGAGGATTTTTCATGTATTGATAAAGGTGATGCTACCTTGTTCTAATCAGTTTCGACCGAGCAAATAGGCAAATGAAACTACTAGTTCTAGTTAAAGCAGGGTGTCGACAAGTGAAGTCGAACTTTACTCCATTTCCTTATGGATCAAACGTGTTACTCCCCTAATATAGTTCGTTATTCAGGATCTAGTTATCTTTCGCTTATTGCTTATCAGTAAGCTGTAAGACACTTAACCTATTTTGTACGTCATCATCTTACGTAAAAGATTCATAATCATAACCCTTAGACTCGGATCAAACGTGTTACTCCCCTAATATAATACGTGTGAGTCTTCCAGTCCTGTTGCCAGATTAATTCATACGTTAATCAACCTCCAAGCACAGCATTATTATTGTTATTACTTATCAGTTTCAACTAACATGAGACTATTCCGGAGCTAATTGATTAACTAGAGTGTCACATACGAAGTTCTTCACAAAGACGCATATCTTCTTTGGCGCCTCCAGATAAATTATTGGGACTACATCTATAACATCACCTTCCTCCATCTTCGCCAACTTAGGGGTGTCATCACGATGCAAATTGCGGCCATTGCACGAGAAACCAACATCATCTACAACCAGCTCGTTCCAATAGCAGTACGATAGCATCAATTTACGCAACTGGGTAGCTGGATTAATTCTGAACAGCATAGAGCTCCCAGCAGCCTAGATCCCAGAACTCATGTTGTTAATCAACCACCAATAACAGTATCATTAATACTTAGTTAAAACAAGATCACACTATTAATTCCAGAGTCAATTGATGGATTATAGCATTACATACCTGGCTCTTCACTTTCACGATTATCTTCGGCTCCTCCTGATCCATTATTGGTACTCTCGATCTGTTTGTTCTACGAGAGAAAATTGTACTCCAACTCCGGCTGCAAAATCATTTAAAAAGAGTACAGACACAACAGCGTTAAATGTCTGAATTACCCGGTCGGAAAAAATCGATTTTTTCGATCGAACGATTTGAAACATCTCTAGATACAAACAACCCAACTCTAACAATCACATCATTCACAGGATCAGACCTTCAAATCACAAAACAAACTCCGGATTTCTGGTGTCATAAGTTATATAACCAAGTCAAATGCTCATCAAACGAATCTGACCAATGGAGAAAGAAGATTTATCGACCCAATGGAGATATCCTAATCCGACTAAATTGATTCTCCAACTAACCCCCCAAGATTATTAAAATTCCACCACAAGCAGATGATTAACAGAATTAGCATACCCCACAAGGGAAACAACACCTCATATAATTCCAGAACACATAACCAAAATACCATCCACTCAATCAAGTTCCATAGGAAAACCCTAGTTGCCTTTTTCATCTCAGGTTCCAACTTCCCATCATCAGTTCATTTCTTTCAAAGTATTGAAAGAATCCTATTCTAATTTCTAGCTACACTTTAGACTAGCTGACTGAAGAACAAAGCGACAAGGGTAGAAGATGAGGCAAGAGTACTCACAACTGTGTTGTTCCACAAAGGAAGCAAGTTAAAAAAAAAAAAAAAAAAACAAGAACATAACCAAACTGGAATTGGGAGCTCGGAGGAGAAATAAATATGGCGCCTGTGGAAACTGGAGAGTACCTCTTTCTCCTTGTCTCTCACGTCTCAACCGAAACCCTTTTTATAACAGTTGAACTAGAAATGGTTGGGTTGGGTTCAATTTTAAATTGTTACAAAAGGTGGGCTCAGCGCTTTAGTTTTGGCTGGCTCTGGCATTGGGCTTTTTTTGTAGATTTCTTTTTATTTCAGCGGCTAATATTAGCGGCTCATAAAAATATTTAAGAAGTAACTTAATTTTTTTCAAATAAATCTGAGTAATAAAAATTGATACAATACAAAACAACAGTTTGATCGTTAAATAATTTCATATTACAATTGTTACATAAGATACAAATATATTACGGAAAGTATACAGAATTACAGTTTTTTTCTTATGCAAAGGCTAAATTAGATGCACTATGTAAAACTTCCATAACTGTTGCGTGTGATAACAAGAGCTCCATTGCAATGCTCATGAGAAATGATGCTTTCGTTTAAAATATACATAGTGGTGTTTTCGGTGCGCTCATTTTTTCGGGTGCATTCAGTGCACCTACCTCATAATAGCCATTTTGAATAGGCAATTCATGTTAAAACGATGGCAATCATTACTTGTGATATGATAGACATGAAACCCCATGAATTTACAAAAAAAAAATCATTAAGTATTTACTTTGATTTGAGGGATACAGGATTTAGGAATTTACGGTTATGGTTAGGGCTCACATTTTGGGATTTTGTGTTGGTGTTCAAAATTGAAGGTTTAGGTAATGGATTGATTAGTTGAGATTATGTGTTATATCATCATATTATACTAATGCTACCAGTTAAAAAAAGCGAGTGCACTGAAATATTGAGCAAATATTCTTAACATTATTCGAACAGAGGACGAGTGATGTTGTGGCATAAATAATGGTGAAGCTCTCCAAATAAACTTCTTGCACCCACTCTAATTCTGCAGTGGCATGAGTAATAACACGATACTAGAACGAGCAACAATACGCTGTTTCTGTGACCGCCAAGAGATGAGATTTGATCCGAGATCAATAAGACAGGCGGAAATGGAGACACGATCATCCGGATTACCCGCCCAATCAGAATCAGCAAATGCACACAGAGCAAGTGGAAGCGATCAGAGACGTAGAATAGACAGTCCATAATGCATGGTGCCAGGGATATCATATAAACACAAGATAAACACACTACACACGGATATAACACAAGATAAACAGCTCGAACAATAAACAACCCACACTAAGACTAGGATAGTAGATTAGCCTTCAGTTTGGTACGCTGAACTTGTAAATCTCAGCGCATGCAAAACCAGCCGGTACGTTGCCTTGCACTGCAATCTCTAATTTACCCATATTTACCAGCAGCTAGCTAGGCCTCGGAACTACTTAGTAACAGCCAGCTAAGATCCTCTCAAGACCGGGAGTACATCTATCACATCGTCATCCTCCATATTCACCTGCACGATTATATACGAACAGATCAATGACAGAGACCAAAGGGAAGATCAGATCATTAGACCTAGCAGATTTTTCTGCAAAGTAAAAAATGATTAATTGGCGATTGATGACCTGCTGAGGGGTAGCATCACGGTCCAAACGGCGACCTGCATAAAGGAAAGGAACATTGTCGACTTCCAACCCCTTCTGATCACAGTAGGCTTGCATCAGCTTCATCAACGGGGTAGCTTGATTAATTCTGAACGGGGTGGGAGGCCTTCCGTCCTGAAACCAAATTCATTCATACGTTAATCAACCTCCAATCACAGTATTATTCTTATTACAATGAGTCTGTTAGGAGCTAATTGATTAATTAGAGCGTCACATACCATGGCCTTCAGAAAGACGAGTATCTTCTTCGGCCCCTCCTGATCCATTACTTGGACTGCATATATAACATCTCCTTCCTTCATCCTTACCTGCTTAGGAGTGTCATCACGATGCAAATTGCGGCCATTGCACGAGAAACGGATATCATCTACAACCAGCTCGTTCCAATCACAGTACGAAAGCATCAGCCCACGCAACTGAGTAGCTGGATTTATTCTGAACCGCATAGAGCTCCCGGCCTAGATCCCAGAATTGACGTGTTAATCAACAACCAGTAACAGTATTATTAATACCTATATACGTTTAGTTAAACCAAGATCACACTATTCCAGAGTCAACTGATTGATTAGAGCATTACATACCTGGTTCCTCACTTTGACGACTATATTCCTCGACTCCTGATCCATTATTGGTAATCTCTGTTCGTTCTACGCAGGAAAATTGGACCGCAACGCCGGCTGCAAAATAGTTTTAAAAGAGTACAGACAGTAAGTACCTAATCAGATCAAACCAATTTTGCCAAATCATAGTTAAATCATTCAAAAGACCGAACAAAGAAACGTCTCTAGATACAAACAACCTCACTCGACCAATCACATCACAGTATCAGACATTCAAATCCCAAAAGTTAAAACCATTACTGACCTGAAGTTGTGATAAGATCCAATCCTAACTCTGGGACATTCAAGCTCAAACTAGCTCAAGTCAAATGCGCATCAAAACGAATCTGACAAGGATGATTAATCAACCAATGGCGTTATCCTAATCTGACTAAATTGATTCTCGAAATAACCCCCCAATGATCTTATAATTCCACCACAAACAGATTGATAAACAAAATGAACAAACCCAAAAAGGAAACATCACTGAAACACCACTCACTCGATCAAGCTCCCTCGAAAACCCTACTTGCCTTTTCATCTCAAATTCCTCACTCGAACAAACCCTAAAACCAAACAACTATGATCACAGCAACTTTCCTCCTTGAACTCACTCACTCATTTCAAAATACAAATTCCATAGTGAAATTCTCATACCCAGACATACTAATCCACTTAATACCTACAGCCTGTATCATCTACAGGTCATGAAATGAAACCTTAGAATGACTCCTCCGGCTGAACTTTAGAAAGTAGACAGAAGACCAAAGCGGCAACTAGAACAAGCAATGAATCAATCTAAAAGAGGCCAGAGTACTTACAACGGCGTTGGTGAATCCTTTTCAGAGAAGAGAAGGAAGAAGAAGAAGAAAATTCCGAGACGAATGCGAGAATTGAGAGCTTGGGGAGGGTATACCTTTTTCTTTTTTTAGAGATTACTAAAAAGTTAATGTTTGGTTATTAAAAATATTTAATTTCATTCGTGATCATTAAAATTAATTAAATATTTTAAGTTTGGTTACTCTCTATCCAACTCCGTTAACTTTTGGTGATGTGGGAGTCAACTTTGATAATTAACTGTTAAAGATGTGATGTTGCAATTAAAAAATATTTTATAAAATAAATTTTCATTTTATAAATTTTCCACATCATTTTAGAACAATTTAAAAATAAAGTTAAAGAAGACCCATGACCCAAACCGTACTTTCTTTACCCGCTCGACATTTCCCTTCTCTTGCCTCCCTCCGGCCTTCGCCCTCCAATCCTCCGACCACCACAGCCAAAGAACCCTACGCCAGACTTCCCCTCGCAACGCCACAATATACGACGCGATCACTCGTTCTCTTAAACTCTTCTACACTTGATTTGTCTTGATTTTGCTTTCTTCTCCATGAGACTCCACGAAATCGAACCGCCATGCGAGAGACAGGTCGAATCTACACTTGGTTTTCCTTGCTTATGCTTTCTTTTCCATGGGATCGACATAAGAAGCAGGGTATAGAAGGCTCACGAAGAAGACGGATCTGGAAGGGGAAGCTACTTGATGGACATGAGCCTGCTCCGTCATCGATTAATCTTCCTGCCGGACCAGTTTGCTTCCTCACCGCCAAAATGGGAGATTCGGATCGAATGCACCTCCCTTTTGATTTCAACCCTTAAATCAAATGCTTTATTTCTACCCCCTCCCTCTTTGGTTCCCCCCGTCTCTTCGCATACCCTAACTAGAAATGTTGACCAAATTCAGGGAATCTATTTCCACAACTCCCTCTAATCCCCAACTTGTATCTCGATTCAGCTGAAAATGGTTGTCGATTTTGATCGGTGGCTGTTTTCAGGTTGCTAGTGGATGTACGATTGGGTGATGTATAAGGTTGCCGGCGATGCCGAAGAGAGGTAGAGTGGTGAAGTGTTCGCCAGAAGGAAACAGAAGCAATGCTAGCGGGTGGGAGAAGAAGGGGATGAGCGCATCGCTGATGGCGGCAGTGTCAAGGATTGGAGGTAGGCTTGGCAACGGGGCGGATCGGGGCCGTGCAGGGCCTATCCACAACCCGGCCGAATTGTTAACGGATTTTCCCCGAATCCGCCCCATTACTAATATCGGGCTTGTTTTGAGGCCGAAGCTCGAAACCATCGGGTAACGGGTTTACCCGCTTTTTTTTTTTTTTTGTCAAAAGATATCATATTGATCAAAAGAGATAGTTACATCCTGGAAACAAGCCAGGCCCGGAAATCAAAGAAGCGACAAACAGTCGGATACAAAAGAGAGTTTTTCTAACTACCGAATGAGCTACCCTTTTGTTCTCCCGACCTACAAATCGCACACTAAACCCAGAGTGGACGCGCAAACTTTGATCAATCTCCTCCAAGACAACACCCAGACGGCTATCCCTTACCCGCCGCTACTACCAAAAAAACTGATAAAAACCAACAAAATACACTAGAATTGAAACTGAAAACTGCATAAACCAGGCATCACCATTCACCAAATCATCATCCAGACAAAAGAAAACAAGTTCCAAATTGAATCCGACATCCATAAAGGCATATAGCCATAAACCAAACGAAACCAAACTAGTTCCAAAATGTTCAATCTTCAACCAACCAACAAAATGAGCAATTTCATTGCTTCAAACAAAATGATCAACGCCTTCATTCTTCAACAGCAGCACTGCATCAGCCACTAGTCACTAGCAAGCACTCAACAGCTAGCAGCAGCCCTTCGAGCAAATCAGCAGAAGCATCATCAAAGCAATCAGCAGCAACAAGCCAACATCAACCATCATCACAAGAATACTAGTGAGAATGAGTTTCACCGACCGTCTCGATCTCGACATACACCTCTGCACGCCGCACCCCGTTGCCAGATAGGAACTGTATCATCATGTTCACCGCGTCATCATCATTTATGACAACTTCTTCGTACATAACTCTGCTAACACTCATGTTCGGATACCGATAAGTAATTTGACCAACTCTCATATGTCCGCCCATACAAATCCTTTCTGCACAAATGTTACAGAGTTCTTCCCACGTGAATATCTATTCAAATTTTAGCATAGTGGATTGGCCATCTTCATAATCGATTCCAATGTCCGAATTTGTTACCCGACCGCCCCACCGAATAATAGGGGTGGCTATTTGGACCGGGACCGGATTAAAAACCGGAAACCGGACCGTATAACCCGGACCGAGATCGGACCGGGACCGGATAGTAAACAATCCAATCCAATCTTTGAGCTTAGATTTGAGGTAAAAAACCGGATAAAGACCGGATAAGAGAGCTCAACACCCAAAACTTAAGGGTAATTTGCATAAACGGTCACAAACCTTTGCACTTAGTACAAAACTTAACCAACTCCTCACCCTTTAAGGCCTTAGGCCACTCAAATCCCACAATATCAATGTAAAATCAAGACTGAATTGGGACCGGACCGGATCAAAACCGGACCGGATCAAGATCGGACTGTATCCAATCCAATCTTCGGTCCTTATATTTTCAAAAAGACCGGACTGGACCGGATCAATTTGGGCCAATTTAACCGGACCGGACTGTATAGCCACCCCTACCAAATAATAAGCCGAAACTTCTTAAATACTCATGTCTGTAATTTATAATAATTAAATATTAGCTAAACTCGAATAAGATTAGTATAATATAATTAGTACTTAGGGCTACGAAAATAATATCATCCAAACCCATAAATAACCGCAACTAACTAATCTAACATGAGAATACTAAATAAATTCATCTAAATTAATAACTAACTAACATTAATCATACCATAATTAATAAAAATAAATTCACTAAATACAGATATATAATTATTAACACAACTAAATCTAAACAATTCATATTAATAACATACCGAAAATTGAGTTTCTGTAACTGTAGTTGCTGGAAGCGAGCGGGAAAGGGGTTTTTTGCGGGTATGATGAGTTGAATGTGGAAGATTTTGAGGCAGGAAAGTGAGAGATGGGTTATTTATACGGAAATCAAATGGACTGATCATCGCAATTGACAACAGCGGTGAATGTTAGGTCGTTGTGACCAAATTTTCTACCTACCAGGGCGGGAAAACGTGGTAAATAATCACTGTTTTGAAGAAAAGCGGTGAGATGTTCACCGTTATAGAAAATTGCGGTGATGCTTTCACTGTTGTAGACTACTGCGGTGATATGTTCACCGTTTTGTTCTACAGCGGTGAACCCATCACCGTTTTGATCTACGGCGGTGATGGTATCACTGTTCTGGACGACTGCGGTGATTTTCCATCACTGTCTTCGACGACAACGTGATTATCAAACTATTGTACTTTGGGAAATACTTATGTAACTACTGTATTTTGGGAATTTTTCTAATAACTAGTGTATTCTGAGATTTTTCAAAAATAATTAGGGTTGTTTGTTTCAGTCGGCATCAACTAATATACGATTCAATTTATTTATTTTTCCTTAATTTTTAATGCTTAAAGTTGCAGGCCGTTGGACCAATAAGACCGTTCGGTTCTGCGGCTTCCTTGTAATGTCGGTAAAAAGCAATGTTGTAATAACCTAATCGGAGCATGACCCGGTAATGTAGACGGCTCGTACTTTAATTGTTTAACCCCCATTAGACCGTTTAAAAACCGTTAGAGAACTGGTACCTAATAAATGTCATCAGTATAAATAGTTGACCCTTCTTAATCAGAGTTCGTCTCTTTACTTCGAAATGTTGAAATAGAAATTAGGTTTCAGTTTGAGAGCCCGACGTTTTTATTTTTATCAATTTTTTATTTTTTAAATTTTTTTAATTAAACTTAATGTCTTATTGGCAAAAACTGGACGAGCGGCTCGAGCGGTTAACCGCCTCGGCCGCTTGCCAGCTACTACATAAAACCAAAGTGGATTTTAGACTGTTTCGAGCCGCTTTAATGACCGGGTGATAATTTTACTGGTCGGTTCGGCAGGCTCGGTTCGGCTTTAATAACACTGGTAAAAAGCGCTCGGTCCAAAATTGGCCTCTTAAGTACACAAGCTGGACCGCTAATGCTAGCGGTTGGCGGTTTTCTCGGCCCGGTTCTTACAACAAAGGTTATTATTATAAAATAGATGTTTTCAATTTATGAAAAAAATATCACAAAATAATAAAATAAAACTATTGTACATAATAATCATAAATATTATAAAATATCATTTAATAAAATAATTATTAAGACAATAATTAAATAGTAATTTATTGTAATAATTATTTATCGAGTAATCTCGAAGCTTGAAGCCCAACCTTTGACCAAGACATATAACTAGCTCATATCTCCCACCCGAGTGTTGGTTTGTTGATATGGTGATCTCAATATGACTAGACGAACTTTAACAAACTTGCTCTCGAAGTCAAACGGTAAACCCGAATCAGGTAGGGGTGTGCAATAGTTCGGTTTAGTTTGGTTCAGACCTGTCCAAACTCATTAGTCCATTAGGGATAGACATCTTAGGACCAAGAATCGAATCTTCCTCATTGCATTCGATGGTATTTGGTCCAGTTCAAATGTCAAATCGATCCATTTTTCTTCAATATTTACATGACACTTCTTCTGTATATATTCAACGCAAATTTGAGTTAACCAAATTGACCTAAGTTAACCAAACATTTTCACGATTCTAATTTTTCCATAATAGTTTCTCTTTATATTTTACAACACAACCCTTGATCATTAAATAATTTCATATTACAAAACAACCCTTGATCATTAAATAATTTCATATTACAATTGTTACGTAAGAGTACCACGATATTAGAACGAGCAACAATACTTTGTTTTTGTGACCGCCAAGATATGAGATTTGATCCGAGATAGATAAGATATGCGGATATGAAGGTACGATCATCAGGATTACTCGCCCAATCAAAATCCGCAAATGCAGACAGAGAAAGTGGAAGCGACAGACGTCGAATAGATAGTCCACACGGATATAACACAAGATAAACAGCTCGAACAATAAACAACCCACACTAAGAATAGGATAGTAGTTAGTCTTGAGTTTGGTACGCTGAACTTGTAAATCTCAGCGCATGCAAAACCAGCTGGTACGTTGCCCTGTACTGCAATCCAAATCTACCCATATATACCATCAGCCAGCTAAGATCCTCTCATGCGCTCGACGGCATGTATCACATCGTCATCCTTCATATCCATCTGCACGATTATATACGAACAGATCAACGACACTCGCCAAAAGAAAGATCAGATCATTAGACCTTGCAGCTGTTCATACATAGTAAAAATGAATTGGGTGATCAATTGACCTGCTGAGGGGTAGCATCGCCGCAAAACTGGCGACCCTTGTAAATGAAACGAACATTGTCGACTACCATCCCCAACGGATCACAGTAGGATTGCATCAGCTTCACCAACGGGGTAGCTTGATCAATTCTGAACGCGAAGGTTTTGCCGTCCTTAGATCCCAAAAGAAATTCATACGTTAATCAACCTCCAATCACAATAATAATTAAAACGAGACTATTCCGGAGCTAATTGATTAATAAGAGCGTCACATACCAGGCCCCGCACAAAGACGCGTATCTTCTTCGGCTCCTCCTGATCCATTATTGGGACTGCATCTATAACATCTCCTTCCTCCATCCTTACCCGCTTAGGGGTGTCATCACGATGCAAATTGCGGCCATTGCACGAGAAACGGACATCATCTACAACCAGCTCGTTCCAATCACAGTACGAAAGCATCAGCTTCCGCAACTGGGTAGCTGGACTAATTCTGAACAGCATAGAGCTCCCTGCCTAGATCCCAGAATTGTTGTGTTAATCAACCACCAATAACAGTATTATTAATACTTGTACATAAATTTAGTTAAAACAAGATGACACTACTCCAGAGTCGATTGATTGATTGATTAGAGCACATACCTGGTTCTTCACTTTCACGATTATCCGCGGCTCCTCCTGATCCATTATTGGTACTCTCTGTTCGTTCTAAGGGGAATACTAGACTCCAACTCTAGCTGTAAAAGAGTACAGACAGCAGGTAAATGCCTTAAGCCCAATCCGATGAAACCAATTTTGTCAAATCATCGCAAATCATTTAAGAAGATCAAACGATTTGAAACATCTCTAGATACAAACAACCCAACTCGAACAATCACATCACATGATCAGACCTTCAAATCACAAAAACTCAGGAGTTCTGGGGCCACATGCTATAACCATTACTTACCTGAAATTGTGATAATATCCAATCCTAACTCGGGAAACTCAATTCAAATGCTCATCAAACGAACCTGAAAGGGATGATTAATCAACCAATGGTGTTATCCTAATCTGACTGAATTGATTCTCCAAATAACCCCCCAATAATCTGAAAATTCCACCACAAGCAGATGATAAACAAAATTAACAAACCCAAAAAGGAAACATCACTGAAACACCAGTCACTCGATCAAGCTCCCTCGAAAACCCTACTTGCCTTTTCATCTCAAATTCCAACTCCCCATCATCTGCTGGTTTCCTTCCAAAGTCTTTGAAAGAATCGTCCTTTAACTGTCACCAGAACAAACCCTAAAACCAAACAGCTATAATCACAACAACTTTCCCCTTGAACTCACTCATCCATTTCAGAATACCAATTACATAGTGAAATTCTCATACCCAGCCATACTAATTCACTTAATAGCTACAGCCTATATCATCTACAGGTCATGAAATGAAACCTTAGAATGACTCCTCCGGCTGAACTTTAAACAGTAGACAGAAGACCAAAGCGGCAACCAGAAGAAGCAATGAATCAATCTAAAAGAGGGCCAGAGTACTCACAACGGCGTTGGTCAATAAGAAAGGAAGCAAGCTGCGATGAATACTTCTTGGAGAAGGAAGAAGAAGACAATCCGAGACGAATGCGAGAAATGAGAGCGTGGACTGGAGACGGTATACCTTGTATTATATATTAGTTATTATATGTTTTTTTTTTTTACATTCAGTTGAAAATTGAATGAACTCGATTGGGTTGGGATTGGAACCTTGTTAGAGATGATCTAACCGGACATCCCTCTCCACTGTCACCAACGAGGTTCAAGAATCTAGACTCTAGAGGGGCTGCTCGAGGTCGATGGATGTATTCTGTAGCAAGGATGCGACGAGGGCTTCGCGATTATAGGTGGGAGAGAATGTCACGCACTGCGGGTGACATAGCGAGTGATGTGGCGGGTCATGACCAGGTCAAGCACATGTGACATTATGGAAGACTTAGTAACATACGATGCTCCTAGGATTCCCCATCTTATAGGTAAGTTTAATGGTGCACATAGAGAGCCACATTATGGGGAGAGCATTATGAGAGGTACTTACACTTTGTAAGAGAGGAGGGTCTATATAAGGAGCACCTCCTCCTCATTTGTAATCGTCCATCATTTTTGTAAGCAATACAGCTAGAGAGTTTCTCCCATCTTCTTGTGTCTTCTTCTTGTGAGTTGAGTGAGTTTGAGAGCTTGTGAGAAGTCTGCATAGCAACTCTAACGGGAATTGAGAGCTAAGGCCGCACGGTTGAGTGTAAGGTCGTGACACCACTCACCAGCAAACTCGAGAGCTCCCATATATTTCTCTCTTCGGCGAGCAAATCTCCCTCATTCAAGATAGCGACAACCAAATTGGCTCTGTTTTGCAGAGTACGCGTATTCAGGGGCGGCTAGGGAGGTGACCAGCAAGCTGTAACTAATGAATAGACGGTATATCGCACGACCCTATGTCGTTAAAAAACGATTGCGCTCATTAAATGAGTTAAACGCTTAGCTTAAGTTCTGATCCAAAATCTTTTTACTCCAATTAAATCCTACCTCCTACCAAATATATAAGGAGATTCTCCCGCACAACCCACCCCATCCTATTTTTCCAGTGATGTGCGCATAGTTCGGAAGGACCTGCCGGTCCTTTTGCCCCGCCTGTCTTTTGCTATAAACTAAACTCTATTAAATATAGACGAAATGTATTAGAAGACTATTAAATATAAACAACTTTTTCCCAGCTAGGCATTGGAACGCACCGAAACAAATTACTGAAAGGAGCTGGAAATTTGAATTGTCATCCCAATTTCCCAAATATATAACTCATGTATAAAGAAAATATTACCTTTAAACGGGAACCACTCCCTTATTACTTTTTTTATGGGAATCTGAGGACTTTTCATTCAAGAATTAAGATAAAGGTCTACAGTCCAAACAGCTCAGATCTGCCTACAGAACCCTTATTACCTTTTTAGTTAATTATATTTCATTTGTTATAATTTAAATAACAAAAAAATTAAATAAAAAGCAAATTAATTACACTCTTAAAATGATATATCCAGTTAGACATTTTAGAATAAAACAAATATGTTAGTCAAGCATCCTTTTGCATCTCAAATAACATTCATGAACTATCAATTTTACTATAGTATTACCCGATCTATGTGGCAGTTCCTAACCGTGCCACCACCGTCAATTATTCGTTAGTCGATTAAGAATATTAAATAGTAGGATTATTCGTTAGTCGATCTATGTGGCAGTTCCTAACGGTGCCACCACCCTATCTATATAGGCCTGTAGGAGACATAACAACAGTTAAGATTTAGTGATTAAACATCTTAATATAGAAATATATGTTGTATATGACAATAATCAAAATCATTGATTGATTGCCGACTAAGAATATTAAATAGTAGGATGTTGCGACAAAATCAACTATTTCAGAGATTGAAGTAGTAAGGTAAGAAGATAATTTGATTTTACATAAAAACATAATTGGTGTGACTGTGATTTTATGCATTATATTGAAGAAATATTCTCCGCAGTGTAAGAGAAGAATGAAGAGACAATTGATAATGCAAATATACGTATCACTAATGGAAATGAAGACACTATTAATTTTAGAAGGGTGATTTGAAAATGTCTTTAGGAGTCGGTTCCTTGCATAGGGTTTGTCTTTCATTTTTTTGCAAAATGATTTAAGTCGTTGAGTTATTCAAATGTCGGAGAATAGTGTGATGGTGATCCTTTTGGATTGTTTAAGTATTTAATAATTTTGATTCTCTTATTATACCAATCAATTTGAATGTTTCGAGCATTTGAATAATTCAGGTTTTATTATACTACCAAAAAATGTGTAACTCGCATACAATTTACTTTTGTTGTTTACGTTATTGCGACTGAATCCGACCAACTGATCGAGCCTGTGACTAGTAAATAACAATACAAAATTACCCGGCCAATGATGAGAGCAAAGCTAGTTACTTATAGTAATTGTTTCGTTATAGAAAGATCTCCATGTTATCTCAATCTTCTCGTGTTGATTTGCCACCCTAACGTAGGTACTCATAACAAGCAAATCTAATGCTTCTTCCACTAGGGTCAAGGGACAATATCATCGAAAACTAGATTATGTCGAGTTGATTTAAGGGTGTCGGCGCCTTTGAAAGCATCAAGTTGCTTCAAAGGAGGGGGGTCGAATGCTCCAAAAGGACGCCTCTTTGATAATGTTGCATCATATGCCAAGCTGAAGCACTTCCACCAACGCTATACGCTTGTTCTTCCATTCACCTCATTCAGCTCATAGCCAATCGCTACAACGAAGAAAATACGTAATGTATGGTGGATGTTATCGCTCTGGTGCGACTAGACCAATCCTGTTAAGGTTTTAAGGAAAGAGGAGGGCTGTACATAGATGAAATGTCTTCCGAGTCACTGATACCCAAAGAAAATACCCTCTACACATAAATACAGGGCTGGCTATTTGGTTCCGGACTGTTTGGTTTTACCCGAAACCGGACCGTATAACCCGGACTGGGACCGGATAGCAAACAATGCAATCTCATATGCGGGCTTAGATTTGAGGTAAAAAACCGGATAAGAGACCCCCAACACCTAAAAACAAGATAAAATTGGGACCGGACCGGGTCAAGACTGGACCGGATCAAAACCGGATTGTATCCAATCCAATCTTTGGTCCTTATATTCCCGAAAAGACCGGACTGAGACCGGATCAATTTGGTCCAATTTAACCGGACCGTATAGCCACCCCTACATAAATAGATAGAACACTGAACAACGTAAACCCACACGAGAAGTCTCTTAATCACATAAAGCAAGAGAAAGAAACAGAAACAATGGTTGCAGAGGCACGTAGGGCAAGAATAATGTATCACAATCTTAATCCATACCAGCCCAGCTATAGCTAAGATCCTGCCTGGTGCACTAACGCATCGATAACATCTCCATCCGTCATATTTAGCTGCATGATTACGAACAGAAAGGTCGGATAAGTAAGACCTACATGACTGGGCCAAGTAGCTAGCATAATGTATACAAGTTAACGAATTGGGGCGATAAATTGTAAGGAGAAGAACGTATCTATAGATGCGACCGAGCGATCGATGACTTTACCTTCTGAGCCGTATCATCACGACGCAAACGGCGGCCATTATGCATAAAATCAACATCGTCAACTACCAGCTCTTTCCAGTCACAGTACGATAGCATCAGCCTCCGCAATGGGGTAGCTTGATTAATTCTGAACAGGATGCTGCTCCCATCCTAGATCCCAAAGTTAAACATGTTGATCATCCAACAGTTGGTGTTATTTATACATTTAACTACAACGAAGACAATTCCATTGATTAGAGTATTACATACCATGAACATCACTTTGACGATTATATTCTGCGGCTCCTTATCCATTACTCGGGACTCTCTGCTCGTTCTCCGGGAAGAATTGGACTCCATCGCTGGCTGCGAAATCATGCAAAAGAGTACAGACAGCCCTTAAATGCCTTAGCCCGTTAAGTACCTAATCAGCAGTTTTGTCAGATCATAGTTGATCATTTCAGACGATTGAACCACTCTGAAACATCTCTTGATACAAACAACTTAGCTCGAATAACCAAATCACAAACTATGTAATTATACGCAGTATTATAAGTTCATTTCTGGTTCCATGAGTTATAACCATTACTTATCTGAATCGCGATAAAGATCCAACCCTATCTCAGGACACTCAAGTTCGGATTAGCAAAAGTCAGATGCACATCAACACAACGAGACATGGATAAAGTGGAATTATCAAACAATGGTATTATTCTGATCTGACTGAATTGATTCTCCAACTAACCTCCAAGATCTTAAATTCCAACACAAGCAGACGACTAAGAAAATCAACAAACCCATCAAGCAAACATTAGTTCATATAGTTCAAGAACAGATAACCAAAATACCATCCCCTCCATCAAATTCCCTTGAAAACCCTAATCGCCCTCTCATCTCAAGTTCCAACTTCCCATCAAACCTTTGCTTGCTTTAAGTAGAAGACACCATTGGTGTCGGTCTTCTTACCAAAAAAAAAAAAAAAAAGAACACACAATCCCTGAATTATACAGTCACTAAATCCACTACAACTTGCCCCTTGAACTCAATCATTCATCTCCATAGTGAAATTCTCATACCCAGCTCTATCAATCCACTTAATGACTTGATAACTAAAGCCTAAATCATCCACAGCTCATGAGACTTGTGAGTGCCTTCTCTAGCTACACTTAGACAGTAGACTGAAGAACAAAGCGGCAACGGGAAGAAGACATGAATCAAGAAGAGGGCAAGAGTACTCACTGCTGTGTTGATCCGAGAGGTTAGACTAGAATTGGGAGCTCGGAGAGGAAAATGGGAATGGCGCCGTGGAGAGTGGAGAGTCCCGCTTTCACTTTCTCAAACCAAAGAAACCCTTTTCCCATTGAATTGGCCCCAACCTTCTTTATATAAGTTTTTAAATGGTCGGTTGGGTTGACCACTCAATCAATGAACTTATTTGATATGGGTTTGGCCATTGAGTTGAACCGGATCAACGTTGTATTTACTATTTAATCTAGTTTGGCCCCAATTTACAATTCGGTCTATTTTTCTTCAGTAACTATAAAATTCATGAACCAGTAATCAGATCACATTATATTCGATATGCTCCGAAACAAGAATCGTTGGTTCGATAGGACCCGGTACGGTCCAACCGGTTGTACACCTACTTCAACTTGCAGTCCCCGCGCCAAACCCCAGCGACACTGGTTCTCTTAAACCCTAAACCTAGCTGACCAGCAGAACTAGGAACACAAAGAAACGGGAACTAAGGAGTTCTTGCGTCGGATTAGCTTGTTCCATTTGAATACGGTGCGAATTTTGCAGTTCAACCTTGAGATTCTCCCCAAGCTCTTCCGGTATTCTTTTTTCCTCCCGTCTGGTTTCCATTTGTTCGAAGGTTGTCTGAAGTTTCGTTCTTTTTTTAGGTCTGATGGCTCGTGGTGCACTAAGCAAGAAGAAGGGCTCAAAATCAAGCAAAGGCCCACCTAAGAAGAAGCAAAAGGGTGACCTTTTCACCGAGAAACGCCCCGAAAAGGCTGACCTTTCAGACGATTCCAATGTCTCGGATGAAGAAGTAGAGGAATTGGAAAACTTCGATGAAGACTCTGGTTCTGAACTTCTGTCCGGAGACGATGATCCTCTAGCTGATGATTTCCTGCAAGGGAGTGACGATGAAGGTACCAATTTTGCTGAATCCGCCTCCCTGCTTCCTTCATTACTGTTTGGTGGCACAGGAGAAGGGAATGCTTCATGTTTGTTGACGTCTGGTTCTATGTGATCTAGTTTGGTTTAGAAGAAAATTCAGGCTCGGATTCTGCTGCTGGTTCAGACTCTGATTCAGAGGTATCTGATATTGAGCGGAAGTCTAGAGCTCTTGATGAACGTAGAGCAAGGGAGGAAAAAGATGCAGAGGATGAGCTGCAGACCAATATTGCTGAGGAATCGGACGAGTTCCGGCTTCCAACAGAGGAGGTCTGGAGTATTTTCTGGTTCCTGCTCATTCTACAAATTTTGAATGTAATGGTGTCTTCTGTTGGCTTCAATCATTTTGTGCGTGCGTCTTAATGAGTAATGTCATTTCAGGAACTTGAAGCTGAGGCAAATCGCCCTCCTGACCTTCAGAATCTCCAAAGACGAATCCAAGAAAGTAAGATGTACTCTCTTTTCAGTTCTAAGCTTTGTTCTTTGTCTGTTATGGAGAGAAATTGCCAACTAAATGTTATGTTGATTTACAGTTGTTAGAGTGCTTTCAAATTTTAAAGATTTGAGGCAGGAAGGTGCTAAGAGGAAGGATTACATTGAGCAGCTTAAGATGGATCTAAGTTCTTATTATGGTTACAATGATTTCCTTATTGGAGTTCTGATAGAGGTGATTCAAGTATTTGGTTGACTTGCTAGAATCATTAACAAAACATTTTCTCTTCAATCTTATATAATTGGATTGTCTCATACTATTTGTTTCGTTTTACTTTCAGATGTTTCCAGTGAATGAACTTCTGGAACTTATTAATGCTTTTGAAAAGCCAAGACCTATATGTTTACGAACAAACACTTTGAAGGTGAGAAAGGCCTTCCATTGGCGGAGCCAGTTCTCTGGCCAGTTTCATGGTTAACCTTATGCTCATTGGTTTATGGTGGCTGAATCCACGTAGGCAAGAAGACGTGATTTGGCTGAGGTCCTGTTGAAAAGAGGTGTGAACTTAGACCCCTTGAGCAAATGGTCAAAATTAAGAAAATGTTTCTGGTGTTTTTCTTGTGTGTATGTGCATATTATTGTCACCTTATGTTGATAAGATGTCATCAGGTTGGACTGGTTGTGTATGATTCGCAAGTGCCAATTGGGGCTACTCCTGAGTACATGGCTGGGCTCTACATGGTAATTGGGATTTGTGCAGCTTCATATTCTTCATCATGCCAGTTTCCTGAGTTATACAGTTATAGTTTATGACTTAATAGCTGTTTGATGACAGCTACAAAGTGCAAATTCATTTTTGCCTGTTATGGCGCTTGCTCCACAAGAAAAGGAGCGGATTGTCGACATGGCGTAAGTAGTAATCATTACGATTTTTTCTCTCTTCGATTTTGATGAACTGGCTGTATAACTTTTCAATTCTTGAATGGCTTACCTGCCACTTGAATTTATACCAACAATTGTGAAGATATATCATATTATCAGTGCCAACTATTGTGCTTTTGCCTTAAAGCTCGTTCGATAGTGCTAAGTACTCTATTACTTGTGTTATATTTGTACTTTGGTGTTTGTGTTGTGTTAAAAGTCTTTGAGTTGTGCTTTGTAACGTTTTTAGGATTCTGGACCAGGTCTCCTCACCCATGTAGACATTGATATCGTAGTGCTGACCGTCTGTGGATTTCAACATTGGAACTCATCGTTGATCTATTGTTTCGTCCTTCCCTTCTGAATGATTAGGTTCATTAAGTGTGCATTGTCATCGTTTTATGTTGAATTTGTATGTGTATATGATGTAGCAACTTCTTCCTGTCACAGGGCTGCACCTGGTGGCAAAACAACATATGTTGCTGCTCTTATGAAAAATACAGGTATGTTGTGAGGCTTGATAGCTATATTCTCTTGCTTGTAGCTTATCTTTCATAAGCCTTCTCTGATATAAATATTATGTGAACAATAGATGAACTCTTTGTCCATTCTTTTCTCATTTCTTGTTAAACTTATAAACATGTAAATACAAAAGGAATTATTCCATCTCGAGTTATCTAATAGCTTTCCATAAGCAACGTCTTCTCACCTAGTAACCTAAATTTTTAGGCAGATTTATTCCCTTGTTTTATCATGTTATGATGTATTCTCTATTGTTCTCTTTGGTCCCTCCCAAAAATCTCTCGACTTATGTGCTGCAGGCCGTGCTTCTCATTTTTGATGAATTTGGTTGTTGAGGAAAATGAGCCCCTTAAGTGTACTTTGAATTTCTGATTCCCTGGTTGAAGTTACTTTGGTTCGCTTCCAGAGCTCTCACACGTGTTCAATTTCAATTATTGGTCAGGAATAATTTATGCTAACGAAATGCAGGAGCCAAGACTTAAGTCACTGACTGCCAATTTGAATCGGATGGGGGTGACAAACACCATAGTTTGTAACTATGATGGTAGAGAGGTTGGTTCTTTAGCTATTGGGTTTTTGGGGTCTCCGATTGGCGCTTTTGATTTCTAATCCGTTTTCCACTATTTGGTTGTAGCTTCCCAAGGTTTTGGGTCTCAATTCAGTTGATAGAGTGTTGCTGGATGCTCCCTGTAGTGGAACAGGGGTAAGCAGCACTCGTGAATGACACATTCTTTCTTAATAACATGCAGGTTATATCTAAAGACGAGTCAGTAAAAACATCCAAAAGCCTGGAGGATATAGAAAAAAGTGCTCAACTGCAGAAGGTAGGTAGCTGAAAGCTGTCAATCTAGCAACTTGGCTTGTTGTCAGCCTAATTTTATCTTCATTGGTTGATTAAGCTTAATAAGTTATCCTTTTGTTGCAGCAATTGATACTCAATGCAATTGACATGGTTGATGCAATTTTGGGTTCTTCCCAACCGTTTGATGAACGTGGTGACAATTGATTCTCGCCTTTATGTTTCTATAATTTTGAGTTTATTATAATTTAAGAAGACTCGCTTACTCATTATGTACGACAAAGTGGATGAAACAAGAGGGTTACAGCGCATCATTGGTAAAAAAACTTGTCTTTTCTTATATCCAATTTACGACTTAAACTCTTTGCTAAAAGTCTGCATTCTGTTTTCTTTTACAAATTATAAGCTTTGGCTGAAATCATAACGGAGTTGGGCGGCAAACGTGATTCCACCTGTAACCGTCAAGTCAACGTCGACGGATTCGATTCTCAGACAAGCTGAAAGAACAGTAGAAATATGATTATGGTTCGTGGCAGAGTTAATGCTCAATTAAAAAATCAAGATGTTCCCATTAACTTGTCTTCCATTATAAAATTCAAAATAAAATGTGGAATTTGCAAATTCATGAGTTCCACGGATTTGGATATAAAAAATGACTCAAATCCGTGGAGCCCATAAATTTGTTTCCCTTAGTAAACAATGGATTTGTGCCAAGTTCTTGATGCTTGAAATTTATGTGTCAACATGGATCATTTTGTAGATAGTTAATGTAATTTAAAGTGCTACAAACTTATACACGAAATCAAGTGAGAAAATTATGTGTAAAATAAGATTAACGAAAGAAAAAATAGAAAGTAAGATGACGAACCATATATCGTAACAAGTAACAAAATAGGCTATATATCGATGTGGTCAGTTGGTCACGCAATCTGAAATGAGATTTTCTTATAAAGTAACCACGAAGTCTCCTCACTCGTTTTGCATCACGAAAACAATACTTATACATGGAATCCATGTTAGGACAGGCATCCTTCAACTAACGAGGAAGACCAATATTCTAGGTTCCTTTTTTATCATTGTTAATATGCTAATTCTTTGTGATGTGATATTAAATGCCAAATTTCAGAACGCTGATAAACATAATACTATTCGAGAATCGCCATTAATAGCATTTTTAATATCAATCATGGACCAATTACCATTTAACCTTTTGCTTTTGGCGAATATTCGATCTCGCCTATTTAGGAGCATTCAAATGTCTGGTTCATCTCAGAAAAAAACGATGCTTGTGTCTTTTGTGAACCTAGATTTCGGGGACACAACCACCGCCAGTAGTTCTCCCACTCGCTTTCTCCTTTGAATGCAATTTTTCCATTTGTCCGAGCAACTTTCTGCTTGAGACTGGGGTTTAAATTCGCAGCCCAAAAGGGTAGCTACAGACAGAGAGAAAGCAGTGCTGAACAAGCCAAGAAGCTCTGTCTCTCTGTTACCATTGCGTTGTGTATGCAACAAAGTTCTGAGCTTTTGATCTGTGGTAGTGGAGAAGAGCTGCACAATACAGAAAAAAACTAAATGGGTATGGCCAATCAAGAGGCGATCCAGCAGTTTCAGGCTCTGATGGACAAAGGTCAGCTCTCACCCACTCATTTAGCCTGTTTCCCTCTTACTTTTGGCTTTCTGGGTAATGGGTATACTTGAGCTTTGATTGTCTGCTTCTGCTGACGCCGGTTTGGTTTTTGTTATTTGCGTCTCTTGATCTGACAAACAGTGGATCAGCCGCTGAAGAATAGTTTCAAGGTTAGTTTCCCTTTGATCCCCCTCTCCTTTTCTTTCTAAAATTCACTGGACTCATGGGGAAAAGAAATCGGAGAAGATGGGAATGAAAGCTGAACAATCAAACTTAGTTTGGGGGAAAAAAAGTCGTTTTCAGCTAATGTGAAATGTTTTGAACCGACAGAAAGCATCTGCCTTTGCAGCTCTTGAATGTGTTTCAGAGAAGCAGTTGATCTGGGTTTGTTTTGTTCATTTTAGTTGTTTGGGTTATGATCTGATTTGTAGCATTGGCCCAACGAGGTGCCCTTGGCAGTTATACATTCTGGGTTTTCAGTTTCTCTTGACGGAATAGAATTGCGGGGTAAACTCTTTGTTAACAGTTAGTGTAGGAAGTTTGATTTGGTATATCAGTTGCCAAGAGCTCGTGGATTTAGGTATTCTTAGACGCAACTTTTGTATTTTTTGCTAATAATGAGACGTGTATTGGTTAGTGTAACTTGGGATACTTTATCTGATTGGATACTATATGAGACAAAAATAGCATAAGGGAGAAGGGGATTTGATTATACTCTGTAGAGCTGTTTTACTCTTTCTGGTTAATTGACTTGGTATTCAGTTACTAGTCTTAGGCAAATGCTTGATTGATTCTGTATTCGGAGCAAGAAGTTCCATCATGTAACTAAATGACGAGGATGTAAGTCTTTAGGTCTTAGGTACGGAACTGTAAATATAGACAAAAGGAATAGGTGGAATACAGAAAGGCAATGCTCAAAGTCTGATATCATAAAGGTGTGATAGCATCTGGAAGTTCGACTGGGAAATCATTTTGATGATCTATCATGGGGCCAAATGGTGATCTGTGGCTGAGAATTTTAAATCCAACTACTGTACCCTGAAGTTGCAGTGGCTTGGGTGGTCTAGGGATCCTTAAGTTTGTGTAATTTAGCATAGCAAAAGAAATCACTTAGTTCACTTAACTGATTTCCGCCTTTACTGAAAGCGCAATTAGACACATAAATAATATTTTTGAATATTAACCAAGATATTGAAATAAAATGCTGGCTGAAGTGCTGGGAGAATGTTGTGGCAAAGCATTACCCACAAAATTAGAGTTAACTCATGATTATTTGCTGGGAATCTTAGTTCCGGCTCTGATCAATTAGAGAACCAGTTTGGTGTGTATGCTAGGTCTCTCCAAGGGTCTCGTGTATGTGAATGTGAGTCGTAGTCCTGGGAAATGGGTTCAGCAGTGCAGTTGTATGGCTCTTAGAATTTGTTGTGTGCTTTCTTTACATTGATTGTTGTAACCAAAACATAATTGTTTTGAGTTGAGTGGGATTCATTCTTGTCAACCACAGGGCATTTCTGAATTAATGCTTTATTGGTTGTCTGCAGAAGGTGCACCAGGGATTTGTAACTGAAACTTTGACAAGATTTCTTAAAGCGCGGGACTGGAATGTTGCCAAGGCACATAAAATGGTTAGGTTGATTTTTATTATTATTCAATTTTGTCCAATTATCGCTTTCTTTGGTCTTTATATCCTTCGAGATTTCATTAGTTTTTCTATTTGTTGTTCTTGTCCATTGCTGCAGTTGGTTGATTGTTTGCAGTGGAGGGTACAGAATGAGATTGACACCATTTTGGCGGTTAGTTCTTTCTCTTGCTTTCTTAATTTTTACGTATGTTTTTAGCATTTCCTTCCTTTCTCTTAGTTATCTTCTATCTGTTACTTTGCTTAACCATGTATGCGGAATGTGTTTTACACACTATGATACATTTGCTTTTTAGAACATGAGATAGGTTCCTTTTGAGTTTCTTATTGTTGACTAGTTCATTATTTTGTCTACAGAAACCGATTGTTCCTACAGAATTGTATAGATCAGTTCGGGATACTCAGCTTGTAGGATTATCAGGTTACACGAGGGAGGTATAGTCATAATGCTTAAATTAAGATTTTCCTTTGGTCAATTTGTTTCATCCATCTCTTGCAATCTTTTTTTGTTTCATCCTTGTACTTGTAGTCTAATCTGTTTATCGTTCATTAAGAAAAATAGATCTATTGACTGTTCCTTGTGTATTATCTTGAAGGGTCTTCCTGTTGTTGCTGTTGGTGTGGGGCAGAGCACATATGACAAAGCTTCTGTAAGACTCTTACACCATTACTATATCCTGTTGGTTGAATTTGCAGACATCCAATGTGGCATTGAGTTTGAAAAACTATGCTGCTTGCTGAAGTTTAATGTGGAATCTGTTTCTCCTCAAGTTTAATGTGAAAGTGACTGTGCATTGAAACTATGGCCATATCGTAATAGTAAGAGCAGTTTATAAAGTCCAGCCAGGACCCATATGATGCCAAGTTATGAAACGATGGAACTATGAAAAGTGTAAAATCATTCCTGAACTTCTGTGCAATATCTGCCTCACATATTCAGGTTATTACTTTTGTTGCTTCAGGTACATTACTATGTGCAGTCCCACATCCAAATGAATGAATACCGCGATTGTGTAGTATTGGTGAGTCGAACTTTCAGCCATTGAGATTTCATTGCTCATTTGCTTTTCGTGTGATGAAGCCTAACCTGTTATCTGTTGTAGCCTAATGCAACCAAGAAGTGTGGAAAGCATATTAGCACATGTATTAAGATCTTAGATATGACTGGTCTAAGGCTTTCAGCTCTAAATCAAATAAAGGTACAGTCTTCTAATGTTTGATTTGCAACTCTTCCATCCTATTGGCATTTATGAATTTTACTTTCTGTTGATCTTTGAGTGCAGTTATTAACTGCAATATCTACCATTGACGACTTAAACTATCCAGAGAAGACAGACACATATTACGTTGTCAACGTCCCATACATCTTTTCTGCCTGTTGGAAGGTTCTCGTCTATTGTCTCTTCATTTTCAAAGCATTTCTAGTATCTCTATTATAAACCCATATACAATGGTGCTCACCAACGCCTAAACCTTTGTTGACAGGTTGTGAAGCCTTTATTACAAGAGAGGACAAGGAAGAAGATTCAGGTGCTACAAGGTTCTGGGAAGGACGAATTGTTAAAGGCAAGGAAGACAATTTGTTTGCTCAGGATCTGTCAAAAATACAATTTTCACAGCTTCCATTGAAACTGAACTTCCTTTTGCTTTTGAATGCAGATAATGGATTATTCCTCACTCCCTCATTTCTGTAGACAAGGGGCCTCTGGTTCGTCTCGTGTTGTTGCTGCTGCAAATGGAACCACCACCACAAACTGCTTCTCGTTAGATCATGCCTCCCATCAGCAGCTGTACAACTACGTTAAGCAGCAAGCTGAGCTGGACGAATCTGATTCACCACCTCTCAAACAAGGCTCGGTCCATGTAAGTTACCCCGAGCCTGACCCTGAAGATGCCAAGATCGTGAAGACGATAGAGTCCGAGCTCCACAAGCTAGGTGATTATAATGGCCTCAACAATTCATTCAGCAGAGTCCGGGTCAATGGCATGTGAAAAAAGCTGACACAAGGAAGGAATGAATGAACATTTAGGGATGCGGTTTAGTTACTGATTTCGCACCAAAACGGAAGTACGAGAGTGAGAGATCCAGGCCTCTGCAAAACTTGAGAAAGATGGGGAAAGTTGTGAACTTTGTACTAATTAAGGTTATTGACGGTATAGCTTTTCAATTTGATGCATCAGCTCGATGCACATCTTGCAGAGTAAGTTGAGGGGCTAAGTCACCTGCATAGGAGATTGACAAGAAACATCTCAGGGTGAAATGATCTTTGTCATATCCCTCTTTACTTTTAATTAACCCTTCAGTTGGGACCTTATATACAAGGAACTACTTGCTTCAGAAGAGCTTTACTCATTTTGGCACCTTGTTTTGTAGCCAATAGCAAAAGACTATTAGATTTAGGGGATGTTTTTGTGCCTAATCATGGATCAGGATGGTGCTGAAGTTAACAAAGCTGTGATCGATTACAAATCAAAGTTTCCAGTACGTGCTGTCATGTCCATAACATAAGGGGCCTTGGTAGAAGACCACTAATCAATCATGGGTGAAGATTTGGATTACACGAAACAAATCAGAGAGAATCGATGTTCAGATTTGGAAGAACTACTTCTGTTTCAAGTTTCATGGTTTCTCTTAAAAATAAACAAAAAAGTACACCAAATGAAGACTGAATTAGACCAAGTACACTTTCAATTCGATTCTGGTTCTTATTTTCCCTTGTTAATGGTGCATTCTTAGCCCTTTCGATCTAACTGTGAACGGAACCAGACTATACACACCCCTAACTTCAACCACCTTAGTACTTAAAACTTATATCTGATCATATTAATTCCCATTTCCCAGGAAAAGAAAATTTCACTAATTTCTCAAACCCCTTCATTCCATAGAGAATCTTCCACCTTACCATCTTTATCAATTACTTTTGCAACTTTTCGGATGATTGAGTGCAGGCTGCACATCCAACATGTTGGGAAAGCTATATGGCATTATGAAGAAGCTGTTCATAGAGATGGATGAATAAATACAGAAGCTTTGACTTCGTAAACCCAGAACAAATGTCAGGAAAGGATTCATTTACAGATTCTTTGCACTGATGAGTTTTGCTTATGAACATTAGATGCCACAAAGATGCAAGGGAAAGAACCAAAAAAAACAAAAAACAAAAACGCACACACACAAAAGGAAAGCAATTGGAATCATTTAGCTCAGCTGTTTATAGCATTTGTATGCGACGGCAACTGATGCAACGGCACAAAGCACAGCAGCAGCTGCATATGTATCTTCAAGCTCCCAGCTCTCGAGCCATGCTGGCTTTCCACAAACTCTATGAGCTAGGGATTTCTTCCCACTGTTACGACGGGAGATAAACTTCTTGTTGCCCTTTTTCTCCTCCAGTAGAGACAGCTTCCCTTCTTTCGGCTTGCTGGTTTCTGTTGAGACAGGCTTTTGACTGTAAGAAGCAGAGTTCCCGATTTCCTGGCAGCGTCCTCCAATGGCTTCAGATTCAGACACACTGCCTGCTGCAACACTTGCTTCGACATCTGTTGTTCTATGTGGCACTTCTCTGCTATCCGTCACATCACCATGCCCATTCAGTTGCAGCCGTTGTTCTTGCCACCTAATCTGGTCCTCTACTGACAAACCCATCTGGCCCCTGAATTCAACATCCCGTGTGGCTTTATAGAACAGTTCAAATATAGGAATATCTCAATGCATCAAACAGGAATTTTTTTTGTATCTCTTCATCTCAATATTTGAACATTATATACTGTCTCAATCTTTCTTGTTTTAACACTTGTGACTCACTTTACAATAATAACGACTGAAGTCGATTTCATCGAAGTATAAAACTCTAGTTGTTCAAAACTACAGGCAAGAAACAAAAGAATACCTCCATAGCCAATCAACAATCTCTCCTCTGCCAATATGTTGTTCGAGTAATATGGGCACATCGTCTGGACTAACATATCCATACCTGTAAGGAATTCCCAAATCTTTCAGAGGAGAAAAGCACAAACTTGGCACATATATAACGGAATGGATTTTGAACTACCAGTGCCCAGTGATGCCTCCACTGACACTTGATCCGAAGATGATAATGTTTCCAGCATACTTATGGCCCCCGATGTGTGAGCATGCACTAACAGAGACTCTAGATTGCATACCACGGACTTCTATCTCTTCTTTAAACCTTCCAATTATGGCTGGACCACAAACGCCACAACAGCGATCCCTGGAGGCATGAGAGCATACAAATACATAGCAACCATGAAGCTTTTCTGGAGTTCCAGGCATCCATTCACCATCTTTGACCAGCACTTCCTCCACAAATGTTTCAACATCGAAATGTGTTAACCTCCTGCATCGTCCTTCACTTGGTAAAATCAGAATTTACCAGGAAGTAGAGCATCAAAGAACAGGAACCATAGGGAAAGAGTCAAACTCATTGACCTGTATCTAACCATGTCAGGAAAGATTAACACGTCCCCATTTGAGGTTTCTGTCCCATCATGTCCCTCACATATTGTTAGCCGGGTCTGAAAACACAGCAGCAGAAAAATTGGATGAACAAAAATGATTAAGATACTATCATTCATAAGCCAGCATAGAGTTGATGGGGGCTATTCACAAACTGAAGTTGCAGAAGACGGAAATAGATGGCACCCGGTCTCATTTCTCGCTATCTAATCCTACCAAATCAAGACAACATAACTACTCTTCAAAGAAATAAGTGCTACTAGACCATTCCAATCCGTGTACAGAGAAAGCACGTGACTAACCATCCTTGCAACTAGCACTGCAAAGTAGCAAAGCAAAACTGCAGGTTTTTATATGCGACACTTGAAAGTTGAAACCACACCATTGTAAAGGTTATAGAGGCAATCGCCACAAGGGAACCATAATACAGAATCCAACCAACAATGCATAAATTCATAAATGGGACAAGTAGATAAAAATGACCCTCGATAAGGGCGAAGAAACCACTCGAATCTCCCAGTAATTTGTTAATAAAATTAAAGGAGTTCAAGAACAAAGCAGCAGATAGAAAGTACACGAATGGTTCCTAGAAATGGCTAAATTTTATGATAAAGAAACAAGATGAAAACCCAGTCATTGACCCCGTCAGGCTGTAACCACCTAAAGGACACTGAGCAGGTCCCTATCCAACACATTCATCACACTACTCAACACTACTTGGAAAGTCCTCCTGCAACGCAATTCACAAACTAGAACTCAGCTAGAGACCCCGGCATCAGTATTGAAGTTCAAGTGGACACCAAATCACATTTCTTTCACGAAAGATCAAAACCTAAAAACCACTCTACCACGAACTCATTAAAATTCAACCACAGAAAATAAACCCACCCACATAATGAAATTGGAAATCTGAAGTAGAGCAGAGAAACAAATAGAAAGAACCAACGCAGTCACGCACAGACACACACCTCCTTCTTCATATAAGCCTTCCTAGCAGTGACGGCAGCAGAGAGCAGCCTGGGGAGGCGATCAAACTCGGCAGCCTCAATCCGCTGCGGCCAAACAGAAGGGTTCTTGTAACACAGAAAGACATGGCGCTCGTAGTACTTCACGGTCCCGACAAGCGGGCTCTGCCTGAAGTCCGGGCGAGAGAAACCGAATTCGGCGTCGATGTTGGCGGCGACGGCGGCCGCGTCGGTTAGGAAACCCTGGTCGTTCTGAAAACTGCTGGATGCACTGCCGAGGAGGGAGTTGTTGGATGGGTCGGAAGAGAGGAAGGCGGCGGCGGGGTCGAGGTAGTCGGAGACTGTGATCGGAGAGGACGACGAAGAAGGGATGTTGTTTGGGTAGGAAAGTGGGTCTTCTCTGTGATGGCTTCCCATCACCGCCGGCGCAGGGGCGAATCGGAGAAATGGAAAGATCGGCGGCTGGCTGCGTGGTGAGGGGGGAAATGGGTTTGGGCCACCGCCGAGGGAGGGAAAAGTGAAAAATGTCCAGTCGGCAGCTGTGAGTGACTGCGTCTGAATTGAGTGCTGAGTTGTGTGATGTTTTGTTGTTTTCCGCTCTCTGTTTCCTTAAGATTCTCTACTGTTCCTGTTTTCCACCTTTTCGCCTTACAAAGTAAATACCATATTTCATTGCTGAAATTACTAAATTGTGTCATGTTTAGTCATTAGAAAAATTTAATATTTATAAAAAAAAATTAATATTAATTTTAGTAACTCGAATTACTGAAACAGGTCACATTTAGTCACTCTCCCGTTAGACTTCGTCCAACTCCGGTCACTCGAATTACTGAAACGTGTCACATTTAGTAACTTGAATTACTGAAACAGGTCACATTTAGTCACTCTCTCATTAGTTTCCATCCAACTTCATTAATGAAGTTGGACTGAAACTAACAAGAGAGAGACTAAATGTGACTTGTTTCAGTAATTCGAGTGACAAAAATTGATATTAAAATTTTCTAGTGACTAAACATGACAGAATTTAGTAATCTGAGTGACCAAATGTGGCATTTACCCCACCTTATAGTTATCTTAACTCACTTTTCTCTTCTAAAATCCTACTATAACGCGGTTTGGTAAAAAAAAACTTTTATTAGGTTGATGATTGTTAGTAGCATAATATAATTGAATTACGATTTTAACATAAAATATAATAAATTAAAATTAAAAATATAAGTGAATTGAATTATTGGTTCGATGATTAGAAATCGTAAATAGGTATATTAGGATTGTCCATATCGTGACAAAAAAACCATCTGATCGTTAGACCATCCTGCAATCCTTTATTATTTATCTTTTGTGATTTGATCTATAAAAGTCTTATAATTATACATATATTTTGTATCTTGCTGTCTCCCACTTTGTGATACCTTTAGCAACAACAACAAAAAAAACAAAAACAAAAAGTCAACTGCTAAAACAAAAGAAAATGTTTCAATCATTTGGACCTGTGAAAACCGTAGAGAAGCACTCAACAAATAATAGAAACATGAGAGTAAAGCTGATGCCATAAAAACATGGATTTTCCAATCACGAATCTTACAAAAGGGAAATATACAGCAAAACCCCATGTTTTTCATCTGTTCTTCGTCCCCACCAAAGGGCCAAGACCCCCCTGAATCCTACTGCACTTTAAGAATTTACACCGCCCACACAAACAAAAAAACACTCATTGACATCTCTCTCCATCCAATCCATAGTCACAACAAAGGTCTCTACCATAGAAGGAGACCTCATACGGGCTTCTCACCAGGCAAGTAAGAAGGAGACCCACCTTCAACTTGGTTCTTTTTCCTATGGAAGATCCCACTGAGATTGGACACCAGTACCTTCTTGGATACAGATGTCTTGCCCTTTTCCAACTTCCGGACCTCCATCACCTTTTGTGGTGGCAATGTGTTCTGCTTCTGCATGACGGGCTTTGGTGGCATCCTGTTATGAAAAGGGGATGCTGCTGCTTCAGATGTCACCTGAGTCTCTGACAGTATCCGGGAAGCAGTTTCAGCCGCCTTCTTCTGATCCCTTTCCCGCCACCTTCTCAGCTCTCCCTCCACTGCCCTTTTAGCTGCTTCAGCCATCTCGGCCCGCTTCAATGCCTCCTGGGTTGCAGCGTTCATATCCTCAATCTCCTTTTGCATTGCCTCTATTCTTTTAAGTGCTTCATTCTCGCTAGCCTTTTCAGCTTCCACTTGAGCGACAGCTGCTGCCACTTTCATTTCAGCCAATTCATCCGACTCCTTCACCTTTCGTTTCAAGGCCTCAAACTCGTCCCTCGAGATTGTGATGTTGGCACCTGACTCGGATGTCGAGGCACGTGCAGCATTGGTTCTCTCTGAAAGTGCTTTGATCTGATCAAGAGCCCTTACCTCTGCTGTTTTGGCTTCTTCAGCTTCTTCCAGGGCAAGTTTCAGCTTCTTGTCAGCTTCTTCTAGTTCAACCCGTGTTGCTTCAGCTTCCTTCTTCAACTCCTCAGCTTTGCTCTTCATCTCTTCAGCTTCACAACGTGCATTTTCATATTCCACCAATAACTGGTGGAGATTGGTGATCATTTCTTCTGAAGCACCTCTTGCCTTGGACTCCTCTGCAATGGCTGCTTCAAGCTCCAACTTACATTTCCGTAGCTTAACATGCAAGTTTCCAGCAATGGATTCTGTTTCTGCCTCTTTCTCCTTGAGTTCCAGATGCTGCTTCTTCACATTCTCCAGCTCCAGCTTTAGCGATTCAAGTAAACTTTTCAAAGAGCTTTCTTCTTCCACTACTTTCTGCAGTGACTCCTTAGCACCATCTAATTCTGAAGTGACGGTTTTAACAGAATCCAAATCTGAGGCCTTTTCACGGTCCATTTGCTCTCTCAGACCACTTATCTCGTTAATTGTTTCGGTCAGTTGCTTTTCGAGATTCTGTGCAAGTTCTGGATCGAACTCATTCTTCAATGCAATAAGCTTGTTCGCTGATTCTTCTAGGGTAGCCTTGTATGACTGCTTCTGAAGGTCCTTGTCAGAAAATATTTTGGTTTGTTCTTCATGGGACTGAAGAGAAGCAAGCTTCACTTGCCCAATTGATTCTTGCATTGATGAGATCTCCTTAGAGAGCTCACCAACTTTTTCAATGTTTACTTTGGTTGAATGTTCGGCTTCAGCAGTTTGTGTAATAGCGGCAAGCTTTGCCTCCAAAGATGCATCGCACTGCTGGCGAAGTTTCCTAAGTTCTTGCTTCGCAACATCGAGCTCTGAAAATACAGTTAAATACTGTTCCCTTGCAGCCTCTAAATCCTGAAGCCTAGCAGCATCAGTTGGCTGGTTACGTCCACTATTTGCTTCTTCAATTTGCTTCACTTGATTTTTTGCAGTCTCTGTGGCTCTCAGTGCCAACTCTTTTGCTTCGTTGATAGTTTTGAGTTTTTGGGTCAGATCATCAACTGTTCTTTTAGCCTTTTCAAGCTTGGTTAATGCTTGAGCCTTGGTTGTTTCAGCGTTGTCTAGCTGATCCTTTAACTTGTTCAACTCCTTCTGGGCTACATGAAGCTGTGTATCCTTTGCATAAACTCGCTGCAATAAGGTAAGATACAGAGCGTAAGGGTTAAGAACTTGGTCATAAATATCCACATTTCTAGATAATCACACAAGAGGTCAAGTGGATCCAGTCTTTTGGGCGGTTTCAAGATGAATCATAAAGGACAGAAAATCCCAAACAACTCCCTTTCAGTCTGCCATGTTTTAGGCGAAGGTTTTACAAGCAGTAACACAACAGAGAACCCCCACAGCACCCATCTAGTTCAATCCCACTCAGAATATGATAACAAATAGCAAATTAGAAATCATGGATACCTCTGCAGAATGAGGCTTTGGTTTTTTTATGGCTGGCTTTTCCCCTGAGAAAGCACCCTCCCCAAATAGGGTGACAGCGTCTTTGACAGACTGAAAGGGCGCCCTAGTGTCAATTTCGCCCACTACCGTTTTAGGAGAATCGGTGGTACCCCCATGCTGCTCCTTCGCCACCATAGCTATTGCTCCTTTTCCCGCTTTTTTAATATCTATTGTTTTGAACAAAAACAACCTGGCCGAAACAAGTAGGACAGCGTCATACAGAGTGAAGGAACATATAATGGAATAGATTTAGGCATCCAACAACAAAAGGCATGCCTCTGAAGATGGAGAAGTAAACAAAGAAAGGGATAAAATAAAATCTTCAACCATTCTCAACATGTGAACATAATATAAACTTCAATTCACAGGCCAAACCAACGAGGTACACTTAATAGTTAATCTTAACACAGCCCAACTAGTGACAAACAGGAAGGGGTTGCTGCTTAATATCTGAGAGTATATAAAGCAATGAGAAGGAGACCGTCAAATGTTCAGTCTATACCCAAGTAGAGCAATTGAATGCCAAAGTTTCAACACTCATCAATGCCAGTAATTGCACCTTACAGGCTCCATATACTTTTTCCTAATTGCTGCATACTTGAAAAGCTTCTGGTCGTTTTAGAGGGACACACCAAAAGCAACCAATTACATAACACATTGAAAGGCCCGACAGAAATCTCCAACTACAACTCTCTCAATTGGAGGTCACCTCACTAGAAGAGCTGCGCTCTTCCCATCAAGCAACTTAACATCTCAATTCCGTCCCATTTTTCACCAAGACGAAGTCATTACCAGTGCAACGTTGAAGGACCAAAGCTCTCATCGAAAATGTCTCAGCATATTCGACTACGAATAAATGATACCAAACTGGTTTAACAAGCATCCTACACTAGATCACTACTCCGCCACATTAGAACTTAGCCGGAACAAGAGACCATGAGCAGTAGCCAGTAGGCCATTATTCTTCAGTCATCCAATCTCTTTGTGCTCACCCTTTCAAACCTTCCAACATTTCCAACCAACTCGGCTTAAACTCAATACAAATTCGCAACACCAGAACCAAAACAACACCAAAAAACTTGAGCACCAAAGTCTCCCATACTCAAACACTTCATTTCCTACTCTCCTTTAGGCAATTTGTTGCTCTGCTTCTTCCCATGTAAACAATCTCGTCACTATCAAGAACTTCAGAACCAAAATCACCGACACCGACCGAAACACAGGAGAAAATCCAACTCCATCACACCAAATAAACCAGCAATCGACAACGCCAAAATAATAAGCTCTTAAATATTTTTTTACTTGGTCAAATGTCAATCAATACCACAGGACAAACAAAACAATACAAGAGCACGAAAGAGGTAACAAGAAAACTTGAAACTGAAACAAAACCGAGAAGAAGAAGAGAATCAAATCACCTGGTCAGGCAAGACAACCCTAATCAAGCCCCCTGCAGCGCGAAAAAGGGGTCAAACAATCGCGGCCGTGTACCTCCAACACCTCCAGAACAAACAACCTGTGAAAGAGCGACTCCCAAATCCTCCGCCTCCTAGTCCAGAAACCTCGCCGACGAAACCCCTTTTGATCTTTCGACACGGACAGCAAAACCCACCGAGCAAAAAAAAAAAAAAAACCGGGGAGAATCCGCAGGGAAAATTCCGGTAACTTTACTTGATCCCTTCCCCGCCGAAGAAGAAAAAGGCAACCTTTTTTCTGGACAAAAGGAAACTCTGGGTCCGGGATCAAATTTGAAAAAGGGGGGATATTTCTGCCTTTTTTGGGTATCGGGACGGCAACTATTGAACTATTGCAGTGTAAAGAACAAAATTATTATGGCGAAGGAGAGAGAGAGAGAGAGAGAACAGAGAGTGTCTGAAATTTGAGGGTTTGGCTGAGGGCGCAATTTTCTATCCTTTTCGGTGTTACTGCTTCCTAATTATTATATGAACGAAAAGGCAAAGCCAGGCAGCCCGGTATAGTATACTCTGTCGATCAGTGCTCGACGGGAACGGAGAAGTGACGGAGGAGACAAGGAGGCGGGACGCCCGGCGGAGACGAGAAAAGAAAAGAGAGAGACACGCTTTAATGTTTTTCCTTTTCTTTGTTTTGTTTGGTTATTTGGCCAGGTCGTAATAAGGGTAGTTTAGGCATTTTCGAAAATATAAATGGGGACGTGGATCCTCGGTATTGGTTGCCAAAGCAAGCCGACTTTGTTTTCTTTTCCTTTTTTTATTATTGGTATTTGCCAGGTCAGCACTAGAATTTAACCTTTTTTATTGGAGAACCGACCCTCCCGCCCAAGACGACAAATTCCGATCCAATAATGACGACAAGGAGCAGATACAAAGGAAGGGAGACTAGGTGAGCACTTCTACTATGCTATATAGTATTGGTGCCTTAATGTACAACTAAAAAGTTGTACCATAACATTAAATATATAAATTTAGGTTGTACCGTAAAGCAACTTGTACCATTATGTTATGGTACAACTTTACAACTTGAAGTTGTACCATCACATAAAGGTACAAGTTCAAATTGTACCATGAAAGAATTTGTACAAAAAGTATAGGTACAATCTGAAGTTGTACCATGACGTAAATGTACAATTTTAAGTTGTACCATAAAGGTAAAACCCTATAGCACCAATACTATATAGCATTGTAAAATTTCTCGTGGGGTAGAATGATTATTTACATTATTACAAGAATATAGGAAATACATTTTGGTATTCACAATTACTTTTTTTTTATTCATTAAAAAGATACATGACCATTTTAAAGAAAGGCAAGGATCATAACCAATCACACTAAGTACATTTGTTGTATCCTTTTAAATTAAAAACATATAATAGCAGGGAGGAAAAAACTCTTCCCCCATTTCAAATTCTCTACTCCAGGAGGTAGAATAGGGAGTGTCAATTTTTTTCTCTTTTCTATGTGGAACGGGCCAACTTACCGTACACATGCGGATTTAAACGGGTCCAGGAGTGTCAATTTTTTTCTTTATACCCTTTTATTTCTCTGTGGTGATAAAATATATATGAAAATGCAAAAACAATACTTCGTTTTATTGCTAAAAATAAAAAATTTAACAATAAACTAATGCATGGTATCTAATGGGCTAACCGCTTACCATAAAATAAAAGAGTTGAATGGACCCGACCTACACGGGATTTGGCCATCAAGTAGAACAAATGAACATCATTGATTTGACATTCTAAAACAAGCTATTTTCTCTGGCATAATATATATTATGCTATTATTTTATATCTTATTGGCTAAAATATAATGTATTTTAAAGTTATTCAATGGTTCAACCTCGACCAACCAATTAGTCCAATTTTTATTATTTCAAATATATATTATATAATTATTTGATATCATAATGATCAAATTATAGTGTATTTTATAGGGAATCGTTTGGTATTTGTTAGTAAAAAACTAAACAGAAAGATCTATTTGGTTATTTTAAACATTAAAACGATCCTAAACATTTTCAGTTCCTTTGAATTTCTATGGTTTTATTCCCGAATAAGTGATGTGAAAATGGCGAATTGCAGTCATCTCTTTTCTTTCACTATTTTTTATTTTCAAATAGAAAGTTTAAAAGTAAATAATAATTAGAATTTGGCATGAGTCGGTCAAACAGGCTGAATTTTAAGTTTTGACCCGTTTTGATCAAGTCTAATTTATAATCACATGGTTCCCTGATACCCAATAAAAATCTCAATCCAAACCAGTTTGGCAGGTGAGTCCGTGTTTACCACCATTTTCTAGGGATACGACAACGGCGGTTCCTATCCCAAATCGTGTTGTTCGTTCTTGATTTCCTTAGATTTTATCATGGCCTGACAAAAACCAGAAAGCACAATGACGACAAGATGAAAGTTTTATAAAGCAAATTAATCGACCAACGGGCCGAGTGAAAGATAGCAACGATTGTGAGATGCTCATTTCCCGAAAACCGACGGGATAGGCGATTTTTTATTCGATTTTCTGGAATTCGGTTTCTATAAAACTTACTCCACCTCATCATATTACCAGAAACATTATTGTTTCACAAGGTAACAGGTACTTGATTTTGGTTCATAAGGCCGATTTTTGATTCGTTGCATCAATCATGTCTCTTTCCTGCTAAAATTCACTATTTTTATCACGTGTTTCCCAAAAAAAAAAACTATACAACAATAAGCTATACACCCCATTACATTATCAAATTTCATATCTCACCTTCCTCCGGACAACTGGTCGGGGCCCACGCTAGTTGCTACTAATATCAAGCTATTATAGTATGAGTCGTACGAGCAGTATTATTATGTAATTTGGCATATATGCATTCTTTATCATAGTAGTAGAAATTATGTGTTTTTCATATTCGAGTTAGGGTTATTATGAAAGGCTCTGATACAATGTTAATAACCAGTTGGTTCTAATAACTCGAATTATTGGAAGATGTCCAATTATGAATCTTTTACCATTTATTAACACATGTCCTCACAAATTTAAACCAACTGGTCATATGGGCTTGAAGAGTGCACATATCCGAATACTATATGCTTAACAAATGAAGGTTATCGAGATTTGAAAACAAGATATTTTGGTCATCAAATATTGTGAAATATCAAGTGTAACATATCAAGTATAAGTTGATCCAATACCTCGTGTCATTGAGAGAGATTTATTTATGGATATATGTCATTAGAAAAACCAGGAGATGAGGGTTTTCACTTACAGAAGGCCTTCGTCGGAGCCGATGGCAACCTTCATCCAGCACTTCCAGTCTAGCTGAACCTCGTCGGCGAACTGGCCGTGGAGATGAGACAGGAGGCTGAGATTTGGCATGTAATCATAAACTATGAGGCGTTGATCGGTGCCGGCACAATACCCTCTAAGCCCTAACAATTTCTTGTGACGCACCCTTCCAAGCACCTCCACTTCCACCGCGAACTCCATTTCCGCCTTCGAGTTCATCGCCTTCAACTTCTTCACCGCAATCTAAACACACCATCCATAACACAACAAAATTAATCATATCATCAAAAAAATTCGACAATTCAAAAATTCACAGATCTACGTGACTGATTGACTAACACAATATGTGCTAACTAATTCACCTTAGTCCGTCGTTGGTCTTCTCCCAATAGACGCTCCCAAAACCCGCCTTCTCCCAACTTGTTGTCTTCGCTAAGCCCATTGGTGGCCACGTGGAGCTCCTTGTACGTGAAGATCCGCCACGAGGTGTTGCTCGCCGACACGGCGGCGGCGGCGGCCGCTCCCTTCATTGATCTGTGGCCCAAACTAGCTAGTGATAGAAGATAGAAGGAAATCAATCAAACGTTACCTTCCATCGACCGAGTCTCCGGCACAACAGCTAGAACCTGCTACCATGGCGGCTGAGGAGGAAAGAGATTAGAAGGGAGGATTTGCAAAGGGCATTTGATAAGAGAGATTGGCAGATTGGAAGGTAATTATGCTAAAGGTTCTTGTTTTTAAACAGAACATCAAAGACAATTAAAAAAAAAAAAAGCCATATAATTCGTGCCACCGTCGCCCAATGGGCTTTGCCGCCTTGGGCCGGCCGGCTGCCTTGTGTTTGAAGGCATATACGATATTATAATAATTTTTTGTACTCGAGCTTTTGGATTAAAGATAATCAATTGGTATTAATTAACAACAAAAAGAAATTGAGGGGTTGTATAAAACTATAAATGATACACACATATAAATTCCAAGTGAAAGAATATAAGTGTTCTTTCAGGTTAGGGTTCCTCTAAAATAATTTTGATTCTCTTCAAACATTAATTACAAATTAAGAAATAGACGTGTATTCTATAATTATCGATCACTCGATTTAGTATTATAGATTTCAAGTTGTAGACAACGATGTGGTTGAAACGTTTATGACAATAAGAATACGTATCGATGACAACCAGCTTTTTAACAATTAGCAAATAATTATGTTATTTTTTTAATGAAAATATATAGATGATAATCGTACGTATTTTTGTAAACTAAAAATTTTCACTGGCGATCTTCTTGGTGACGAGACATTAAACCTATACAATTATAGGCAACAACAAAAAAACCACTACCACTATTTAATCACAAAACTCAAATAAATATAATTTATTGTGTGCTCATTTCCACAAACAATGTTTCATCATGTTCATAGGCTTCCCCCAAATGAGTGATTTATGTCGTGTAATCAAGTAAGTAAGTAATCAAAGCAAGACAGACGACCGGATGAACGAATCTCGGTTGGTTGATTTAGCGTTTCTTTCAAAAGTCGCACGTACGTCGTGCTTGCCTTGGTTAGTAACCGCCTATCTGCCTGGTTAGAACGGATGATCGAGTTTCCCATATATGTATGTTTTTGTGGTAGTTCTTGTTGATGTATTTGTTTAGTTGTGATTGGATGGTTGATTGATTTCTGGGTCAAACCTGGCCGGCCGCTAGCTACGTGCTTTACCTATATATGTTTTGTGGTAGTGCTCTGTCGTTACTGTCCACTGCAATATAGCTATCTACAGAGACAACCACACTGTTGTTAACTGCTTGCTGTCTACCAGATGGAGATAGATCGCAAGATCATGGAGGGTGGATCCCAAGTAGAAGATGATCAGCAGAGGAGTTGGAGCCCTGATGAATGATGATCCACAACCCCTGACGGAGGACATACTTTGCATCCGCAATCTGATGAGTGCCGGAGACAATTGTGCGCTCGCTGCAGACTTGCATATAAAATCAGCGCACTATCTTCATGTCCAACCGGATGGCTCGCTACGTGGTGATGGCTTCTCTGGTTGAGGAGGGTGCAGTGGTTGAGGTGCTGTTTCAGGTGGAATTTCGCGTGATCAATGCACCCTGACTTCAAGAAAACGGAAAACAATGTTACTCGGTTCACACCTCTTCAAACACTGTTCGAACGAGGGTGTTCGATGCATACATCAAAGGAACTGGCTACTTTTACCTCTACTCCTATGGAGATTCCTTGAGAGCTCCGCAACTACTGACTACAACTAACAGAGAAGCCTCGTTGGAGGGTCCCTGGTGTTACTGCTACGGTTACTGTTCTAGAGAGAAAAGATAAATTTTGACGAGACTTGTTGTGGTATGATTTGTCTGTCCCTCGTCCAGAGTCTTGCTGCCAGTTTTGTTGTGCCTCACCCTCTAACCGCCTTCTCTCTCTTCCCAAAAATCAGCTCCACGTAGCATCCAGTAACTTCCCCGAGCGTTCTTTGCAAGTCAAGTGTTGCTTTTGGTAACCACCTCGACACGTCATCATGTCACTTGACCATTGGACGGTCACCGTACACAAAACAAGTTGGATGGCATCCATGTTGACTAAGACAACAGTCCATGGATGGTACGCATATTAAATGGTCACCATACCCTAGCATCATCCATTAGGGTTTGGACGGTATCCATTACATTGGACACTACCATCCATTATGGATTTTGGATGGTATCCATGTATTTGGACACTACCATCCATTATGGGTTTTGGATGGTATCCATGTATTTGGACACTACCATCCATTATGGGTTTTGGATGGTATCCATGTATTTGGACACTACCATCCATTATGGATTTTGGATGGTATCCATGTATTTGGACACTACCATCCATTATGGGTTTTGGATGGTATCCATGTACTTGGACACTACCATCCATTATACCTATGGCCTGACTCGATAAATTGGACCATTCATGTACACATTGACCAATTACTTAGATTGGCCAAGCTGTTCACACAAGCAATAATTAATGAAAATTATTTTGGTGTAAACAAATGCCCCCCACAACTTAGTTTATAAGAACTAATTCTTATGAACTAAGTTGTTGACACCAACTATACTAGAAACCACTTGAAGCAGATGTTGGCTTTATGTAGCCATGTCCAAGTCACATAAGGAATGTAATTCCTTCCTGGCCATGTGAACAACACACACCGAGAGGGTGTCCCTCTCCAATTTGGCTAATAATACAATTTTAGCCAATTAATGTAGCATGCCTTTTCCTTTTGTGATAAGGAACACAAATTCTTTTTCATGTAGGACACACCTCATAATCCATATCCTACTAGCAAGAGGAAACTCATTCCTATTAAGGCAGAATTAAAATTTTCTCTATAAATTGATGCTCCCATTCACCATAATTCACAACTCAAAAAATATCACCGTACCTTCAAAGCTGTGCGATGCTTCCCCATGGCAAGACTCTTGCTACTGCTCGGCCTCAAGTCACCAAGCTCAGGTACTCCTCCTCTCAATCCTGGATGGTTACTCGGCCAAACTCAATCACAATCTATATACAACATGGACGATGTCCTTTTGCTTGGACAACACTATCCATGCAACCACTTAACCAAACATGGATGATACAATCTATCTAGAAGGTGGCAAGGTAACCATGTTTTGACTCAACCATCCAAACTATCTATTTGGACGACAACCATTTTGCTTCTGAGAAAAACAAATCCCTTTTAATGGCCAATCCAGAAAAGATTTGTCCTGGCCATCTCACTCCTCGGCTATGTTGCACATCTTAGAAACCATGTCAACTTTGACTAGGTCTCCATGTGCACTAGGCCAACTTCTAAATCATTGACACCCCTTAACGTCCCAAAGGGACGGTAAGTATGGCTTAAGGTACTTGCCATTAATTAAGCGCTCATGTTGTACACCATCCAAATCTTTCAATAAGTAAGCACCATTGGGACGCACAGCATGAACAATGAAGGGACCCCGCCAATTAGGAGACCACTTTCCAAATTTTGGATCCTTCTCACCAATTGGCAAATGCAGCTTCCATACTAGCTCTACTTCCTCGAACGACTTATGCTTTACTTTTTTATTGTATGCCCGAGCCACTCTGGCCTTTTGTACCTGGATGTTATCAAGAGCTTGAAGTTGCATCTCATCCAGTTCGGACAACTCCAACATCTTTGATTCATAATACTCCGAGGGAGTCAATTCATGTTGTTTCATGTATCGCAGAGACTTTACCGTTATCTCCACTGGCAAAAAGGCCTCATGACCATATGTCAAAGAGAAAGGAGTCACTCTTGTACTACTGCGTGGTGACATCCTATAAGCCCATAGTGCCTCTGATAGCACCTCATGCCAATTCCTTGGATTGTCCTCAATCATTTTGGACAAGATTCCTTTTACCACCTTATTGGATACTTCTGCTTGACCATTGGCTTGAGCATAATAAGGTGTGGAGTGGATGATCTTAATGCCATGATCTTTGGCAAACTCCATTACCTATGCTCCAGTGAAGACTGTCCCTTGATCGGCTGTTATAGTGGCTGGCAAACCAAAACGATGAATAATGTGTTCCTTGATAAAAGAAATCACTTCCCCTTGGTTCACCGTCTTCATTGGCTTTGCCTCTACCCACTTTGTAAAATAATCAGTAGCCACAATGATAAAGGTGTGTTGCTTAGATGACGGGGGATAGACTTGTCCAATCAGATCCATTGCCCAACCAAAGAATGGTCGAGGCTTAATGATAGATCTCAGATCGATGGCAGGTGCTCTTTGCACTGGTCCATGACGTTGGCAAGCTTCACATCCCTTAGCAAACGATGCACAATCAGGCCCAATAGTTGGCCAGTAATATCCATATCGGTGAAGTATCCACCTCATGGATGGACAAGCTTGATGTGCTCCACATATCCCCTCGTGGACTTCGGCCATAGCTTGTAAAGTCTCCTTGCCCCCCAAGCACTTGAGCAACAAACCATCTGGCCTTCTCTTGAACAGTGTCCCATCCAGTAAGACATAGTTCCTAGCCCTAAACTTGGTAGTATGGTCTGCATCCCCACTTTGATTTTGCAAGTACTTCACTATAGGAGCACGCCAGTCCTCGACATCCTCTTCAATCACACAAACCTCAACAACTTGTTTCATTCTATCTCTCAAAGGGCTAAGAGTTTGCACGAATATTTGGTCTCTTCCTCCACTGACAAACTCTCTAAAGCCAGATGCAAGCTGAGCCAGATAGTTGGCCTTGCCATTATCCATACGAGGAATGAACTTGATGGATACATTGTCAAAATGAGAAATCAGTATTTTGACACGATCAAGATACAACTCCAATACATAACTAACACAACGGTATTCACCAAGCACTTGGTATACTACCAGTTGAGAATCTCCCCTAATGTCGACACTCTTTGCCTTTAGGTCTACAAGAATCTCCAAACCAACAACCAAAGCTTCATACTCCGCTTGGTTGTTAGTACATGGCACATCAAGGGAAAATGCAAAGTGCATGGCATGGCCTGATGGCGAGGTCAACACCACGCCAGCTCCTGCTCCTGAGCGTGTCTTTGAGCCGTAAAAAAACAACGTCCAGGGCATCTTCTCGACCATCCCAACTTCTATTTGCTCTGTTGGCATATCCAAACATGGATGGTCTGCCAAAAAATCTGCTAGGGCTTGACCCTTAACTGCCCGTTGTGGCACATACTTTAAATTGAATTCGGACAATGCAAGTGTCCACTTGCCAATCCTACCATGGATGATCGGCCGGGACAACATGTATTTAATAACATCAGTTTGGCAAATGAGCTGCACCTCAACGGGTGCCAAGTAATATCTTAACTTCGTACAAGCAAAGTACAAGGCCAAACATAACTTTTCTATGGATGAGTATTTTTGCTCGGCCTCATTCAACAACCTACTTAAGTAGTACACTGCTTGCTCATTGCCATAATCATTCTCTTGAGCCAATAGACATGCTACAGACGTGTCTGTGGCTGAAAGATATAAATTTAAAGGACGATTCCGAATTGGCGAGTTGAGCACTGGCGGGTTCACCAAATACCTTTTGATATCTTCAAAGGCCTTTTGGTGCTCCTCCCGCCACACAAACTCATCTTCCTTCTTCAACTTGAGCAGCGAAGAGAAAACCTGGGTCCGACCTGCACAATTTGAGATGAACCT